TCAAAGTGACTAATTCCTTGATTGAATCTTTTTGAGTTAATACTGCAGCGATAATTTATTAATTAACTGTCTGCGTACTTAAGAAGTTAAATATGGCTTTTTTCTATTTAATGAAATAATTGATGTAATTTAAAACCAGGATATAAATATAAAGTCTTTCTAAAAAGTCTTGAAACTGTTAAATGAGATTAAAAAAGCTAAAAGTAACATTTTTCTTCCATCATTTATAATGTATCAAAATATTTTGATTTGCTTAACATCACTCACAATAGCTTGAAAAGATTTGTAGAAGGCGCTAGTTATTGATGTTGACTTTCAAAGATATCAAGCGTCAATGTTGCTCAATGTGCAAAGATTCATTTTACATGATTTTGAGGCCCACAAAGAATATTTTCCATCATCGTGTAACAAGAATTGATACCAGAGAGCATCTTTGATATCAGTTCTTGTTACACGATGATGGAAAATATTCTTTGTGCTCTTTTCTTGAAGTCAAGGTTTGCTTAAAATTGTTGTAGTGCAACGGTTGGTTCTCTTACACAGCAACAACAGTTTTTTTTCATAACACAGCTTTCTAGTGAATATTTATATGAGAAATCGCTTGCTTGATGGTTCACCGAGATCATTATTAATAACTCCAGATAAAATATTCTAAATTTATTTAGTTATCAATTTTTACTCAATATTACTACTAAATATGAAATAAGCAAACAAATTTATAAATAACTTTTTAAACATTAATTTTCATTTCGTCTTTTTTTACGTTACTATTCCCAAAAGTTTAAAAGGATAAAAGCAAAATTTGGCTTTTTTTTTCAGTCTCAAACTTTTTTTCTTAAACTTTTTAATCTTCAACTGCGCAATAAAAAATCCGGCGATACTAAACTTGTCGTTGTCTTTATTTACTGTTTTACATGTCTATTATTACGCCATTTTTATCGGCATTTTGGCTTTTCGGCGTTTTAGAATTCGGCTTTTTAGGTGGTCCCCAACTTTCAAAAGTTACACATTATAGTTTTATGACATAATATTGTTTTTCATGGTTAAACAAATGATTTAATTTAATCATTTAATTTAAATAAGACGTTTAAAAAACGCAAATTTTTTATAGAATTACAAAGTAATGCATCATTAAACGTAAAGTATACTAAAGCATTCTAACGGAAGTTTAAAAAAATTTGTCACATAAATACAAAAATGTCTGTTACTACAAAAAAAACCTATTACTAAAAATTTTTTTTTTGTAGTAACAGGCTTGTTAATACTATGTTCAATTTAAATTTGATAACTTTATTTAAATTATTTATCATTAATTGTATAACAAACTTGAGTATTTTTGAGATAATCGTTTAAAAAGTTTTTTCATGAATACAGCATAATCAACTTTGCTAAGACGGAGCTAGAAAATTTAGCATTGACTTTTTTAAATGGTTTTGTGATATCAACGAAAAAAAAAAGTTATGATGTTAAATATATTATTGATGATTGTTAACCTTTCGTTTCTAAGTTGCTTTTACGGTTCTTTAGTCAAGCGCAAAGATTTTATTCCAATTTAAGTTATGACAGTTGATATTATTTATCATTTTAAAAAATCTTTTTTTTTTACAGGAAACATTATGTGGATTAAAATAGCTACGGATTCCATTTTTTTCATTGCAATAACATTACAAAGCTTTGACAAAAAAAGGTTATGTAAACTGTAAGGGCTTCTTTTTTATAAACCATGAGCGGATAAAGCACCAACGGTTTATAAAGAGAACGGACTATCTGCATCCACAATATTAGCAAACCGCAATCAGTAATAATAAATGAAAATCTAAAATTTTATCATTCTTTTAATGGAAAAAGTCAAGCAAATTATAACAAAATATACTAATTTAAAACTGTTAACTTCCTTAATGTTTTACTCAAATTATTTAACTATTTGTTTCAGCCATATCGAAAGTCAAGAAACAATCCATTATATGTCAATATAAGTTCTAACTATCCTTTATATACACCCGTATATAAAGGATGGTTAGATGGAATATAAATCCTTTATATACACCCGTATATAAAGGATTTATATTCCTAAATTTACACCCGCAACAATATCTCACATAAGTAAGCTTTTCTCAAGTAAAGTTTATCCTTAATTAGAAGATGTTGAATTACACTAAAAAGGTGTCCAGCATTTAAAATACTGAAATTGTGTTAAATTAAACTATTTTGGTTACTTTACGCTTTTTTCCTATTAATTTACACCGTTTTTGGTTTGAAACTGTTGGTGTATTCTATGCTGCACAACTTTTTAGTATTGATTTATACCGTTTTGGTTTTAACTCAAACTGTTTTAGTGTATTTCATGCTACAAACCTTTTTAGTAATAATTTACACCGTTTTGGTGTATTTCATGATGCACACATTTTTAGCGTTAATTCACACCGTTTTAGTGTTGATTTAGATTTTTTTTAATTGTTTTAAGCTAGTTTCAAGTAAAAATAAAAGTCTAAAAATTAACGCACACGTATTTATTTAAAAAGAGCATAAAAATATATTCCTGTTTATGTTTGACTCAAAAAAGACTCTTAAAAATGTCTTTTTGGTTTATTTAACGTTAATTATTTTAATAGTTGACTTGCCTTTAAGAACCCAGCAGGCACATAACGTTGTACTAACGTTGAATTTATGTTAAAATTGCGTTTTACGTTACTTTACTGTAATTCAACGTTGAGTCAACGTAATCTTTTTAAAGTGATATATTTTCTTTAAGCTAACGTTGACACAACGTTAAAAAAAAGTATTAACCTAACATTCTAAGGTTGAGCTAACATACGGACAACGTAAAAAGTAAAGAAATATTAACGTAGTTCTGTTAACTATAAAAATATCTGCCGTAAATAATTTTTTTTTTTTCCTTAAAAATGGCGTATTAAAAGATAGGAAATAAGTTTAGTTAAAAGATAATTGGCTTGAAGGTTTGCATTGTTATTCAAAAGACATTCGTGGAGTTTTCAAAAAATATTTGAAAATAAACGGCGCACAATTATTTAAAACTTTGAATTGCTGATAAAAGATTTTATAATTGTTTGATTAAAAAGGGTTATTTAAATATATATATATATATATTATTATAATTATTATAACAATATATTTTTTTTACCCTGCTTATTAAATAAATTTTTAACAGTAAGTATTTTATTTCTGAATAAATATTTTATAGCAGTGTTTACGTACAGTTCCTTTCATATAAACCATAAATACTAATCTCGATACCATTTAAATGTGTCCAAGTTTAATTTTTTTGAATTTTGATAAATATGATAATTAATGCTGAGGTAATTACACAGAAAATTATTTTCATATTATTATCAGTGGTGGAGTGAAACATTTGTATTTGGGTAATTATTATTATAATTTTTCTTCTTTTAATCCCATTTTAAGCTTGTGGGTTGTGCAGGGTTGTGCAACTAACAGAATCAAAATTTATAGCTAAGTTTAGATATTTTAATAATAATAAGAAGTAATATGTCGAATATTTTACAAACGAATATCAAAAATATAGTATAATATTTTAAATCAAATTAAATGCGGAAAATGAACTTCAATAAACAGGTCGCTTTGTTTATATTTCGACAAACAACGTAAGTATATTATTAATTTGAAATCGGAATGTTAATTTTTCAAATGTCTTCACCAAGCATCTGCTATGCATTAAGTGTTTAAAAAAAATCAAATTATAAAAAAAGTAAAATAAAATGTATTTTAAAATTTTCATTCATAGAAACCATAAAAAGTCTTCATGAAAAACTCAAGTAAAGATCATATTGCAAAATTTGGAAAGGCCTCTCCTTTGGTAAAAAAAATGTCAAACGCTATGTATAGAGAATGCAAGCAATTGTTAAGCAGTTCTTTTTATATATTCATAGTTTATACTATACCTGTAACCTTCATGTATATTCACATTTTTAGTTAACATAATCTATTTAACTTATTAATTTAATGTTAAACTAATGAACTGAAAAAAAAAGCAATTGACATTGTTTTGCAAACTTAAGTTTAACGTTTACATTTTGTTGTTAAAAAACCTGTTATACCTAATTTTTATTTTCAGATTTTATTATAATCTACTTTTTATTTTAGTCTAAATAACCATAGCTAATAGTGGCATGAAATTTTCTCTAAACTTTTATTTATGTTTTAACTTTGTCACCTCTTAAAAGCAGGTGGAAAAATGTTAAAGAAAATACAAAAAATGTTATGGACAGGTATGTATTTTTGTTTAACTCTGAATAATCAAACTGTTTAAATTGTGAGTAAATTTTATAAAAAATCTAGCCCAAAGAAAGTAATTTAGAAAAACAAACAATTTTAATATTAATGTTTGGGGAGAACCTTAACGCTTATTGAATGGGACAAAATCAAATTTACATTTATAGATATCCAAACTCCTCTGGTAAGAAATGTTAAACACAACAATTTAACAGATCAAATCATTATTCCTATCATGGTCTGAATATGATGAGCCAAACATAACATTAGAAATGTTTCATTAATGGGAACTAATAGCACATTTGGAATGGTGGAAACATTTTTTTGTTTTGGTGCAAGAAGTTAAGTTTAATTTATTTTTGAGCTTTTTTTAAATTTAACCATTAACTCTCTCATAGTGTGAGAGTAAATAGTGATCAAATAATTTTCAATGTATAAATTAAGCAACTTTATCAACTTTTAAAAAGCATTTTACAAAAACTCTCCAATTCATTTAGGTTTCACTTTTAATTCAATGTCGAAACTTTGAATTTATAAGTTTATAAATTAAATAAAGAATTTATAAATTAAATAAAGAATTTTAAATAAAAATTTAAAATTAAATAAAGAATCTTACCAAATTATACTTTGTGAATTATTACTCTAATGTGTATTTACAGTTATTTAAATCAGTTCGCTGGATCACTTAATGTAATAAAACAAAGTAGTTATTTTCTATTTACTATTTTTTATTGCTTTTTTATAGAATTATGGAGCATCATGTTAAGCCCAAGTTCAATATGAAAAGCAAAATTCGTGGTGATATAAAGAAGGTATCATTCGAAAATAAAAAGTAGTGTAAAGCAATAATTTTGGTACGTTAATAATAGCTCAATATTGTCCTTTCTATCCTTTCTTCCTTACATATGTTTTTTATTCTTAGATATATATAAGTCTTAAACCTTGAATGTTAGCATTGAAAATCAAGCAAATAGTCAATTATAAACAAAATAAATTTTTAACTGTTGTCCCGTTTACAATATCTCGTTTTGTATTTTAGAAGTCATCCAGCTAACGCACGAGAGATCGACGGAACCAAACAAAAGATCAAATAGGAAGCATTTTAAAGTTCTCTCCATTAAACAATTGATTATTTTTGAGTTTTTTTGTAAATTTATAATACAAAAGAATATATAATACATCTTTGAAAAAATCTTCAAAAACATTCATTGTATTTTTAGTTTGAATATCCCCAAAACTATTTTTCTAACCATTTTTAAGGGGTTAAAATCCTTTATTTTAACTTTGAATATTAATTGTAATTGTGTAAAATTTAATGTTAATATATACGGTTATATTCATATAATAAACATGACACGAAGCCACGTATATAGGGCTCAGGCTCAGGGTTATATAAATATAATAATAGCTATATTAACATTAAATATTACTCAATTACTATCATTATTTTATGTTTAAATAAAACGCCAATGTTATTCCCACTTGTATTTACATTAGTATAACGTTAATCTAACTTTAGAATTTTACGTTAATATAACGTTAATATCTAATTTAAATCTAACGTAAGAATTTTACGTTACAAAACCTTTCCATTTTGCCGAACCGGCAACGTTATACTAACATAAAATCTAATGTAAATAAAACGTTGATACAACGTTGTGTGCCTGCTGGGCTTTTGACTAAGCAGGACAACAATTGTTATAATATTTTATCATAGCATACTAATGGTGTCTTCAGTGCCTATACACACACACATACACACACACACGTATACCCACACACATATACACACACACACACACACGCACACAATTTTTTAATGAATACATTTATTGATTTCATAAAAAAAAAACTTTTTCTCAGTGAGCAAACTCTTTCCAGAGAAAACTTTAAATTAGAAAGTTAGTTTGTTTTCAACTTTCTCATTTCAATATTTTTATTTAACATTATCACATTTATTAATGGACAAAAAGTTGATTTTTTTTTAAATTTCATATTTTAATTGGAAATTTTTTTTTTTTAGTTAATATTTTACCACTTACCACTAATTTGTTTGAAATTTTAAGCTCTGATTTTTAAACCTTAATGTATTGTTACTTAACAAATTATTCAGGCTTACTTACGGATTTATTTTTTTGAATTATTTAAACTATTGTGATGGAAAAAAAATCACATCTTGACTGTATGAAATAGTCTCTCTCATGCATCTGCAAGAATCTTTGCATTTTGTAATCACCTATTTGAGAAAATACTGTGTTTGAAACACATGATCGACAAAGTTTTTTAAAATCATTAAGACCGTAATTTAAAAAACTAATTTAAATCGTTTGATAACAGAAGTATACGATTTTTAAATAAATAAAAAAAAAAAACATTTTAAACGCCGGAAAAAAAGGAGATCTTTTATTGAGTTTAGCCCTAAAGTTTGTAAAAACAATTATAAAATTATACTGAAAATATAATCTATAGTTCATCAACAAAAAAAAGTGAATTTACTTTAATGTTAAAACATGTCTTCACTACGATGAAAAGTAATTTTATATATATACATATATATATATATATATATATATATATATATATATATATATATATTATATATATATATATATATATATATATATATATATATATATATATATATATATATATATATATATATATATATATATATTTATATATATATTTATATATATATAATATATATATAAATATATATATATATATATATATATATATATATATATATATATATATATAAATATATATAAATATATATGTATATATATATATATATATATATATATATATATATAATATATATATATATATATATATATATATATATATATATATATATATATATATATATATATATATATATATATATATATATATATATATATATATATACAAAACCAAAATTTTTTAAAATAAAAATTGTTTCACCGGATTGACTATAAAAATTGAGAAAAAATTAGATAAATGTAATTTTTTTAAGAAATGTTATTTATGTTTTGATTGAGTATCATCTAGCGAAAGGAAAAATTTTAACCATCGATAAAAAAACTTTTTGTTTTTTTATCGATGGTTAAAACTGTTATGGAGTATAGAATTATTTAATAAAATATTTACAACTAAAGGATAAAATAACAGAATATAATAAGATAAAATAAAAGAATAAAGTTAAACAAGTAAAACAATTTAAAATTTTTTAAACAGCACATTTTTTAAACACCATCAATTAAAAACTGTAAAAGCCAACAAATAAAACACTTTAGTTCAACAATTAAAGGATTAGTAGTCAACTAATAAAACGAATAAAATTCAATAAATAACAAACAAAGATTCAAACAGTTAAAAGTCACTAATAAAAAGAATAATAAAAAAGTGTTTGTATATGTAAAGGATAGAAAAACAAATAGGCATACTTATTTTTATTATTTAAAAACACAGAATAATTAAATAAATAATAATTTTAAATTTATATACACTATTCAATGTTTTCAGTATTTTAAACTTTTTAAGGTTTAAAATACTAAAATCCTTTAAGGCGTGTTATATAACATTTGTAGAACGTGTTTGTTAAACGAATTTAGCTATAGCAAGATTTGTAAATAAACATAATTTTTAGCTAAAGTTTGATTTTCGAGATTTCAAAAATTTGTAAGTATTAAAAACTAAGAGAATTTGATTTGAATGCTAAAGTTGATTAAGATTAACAAACGCATTTTTTTGAGATTTAAAAAAGCCTGAAGGAAAAATACAAGAGGTTGTGAATTTTTTAATATAATACTTTAATGTTATTCTGTAATAAATGATATTATTGTGAATACTTCATATACATATTATAATTATGTTCAAGTTAATGAATTGTAACCTACTTTTACTATATATATATATATATATATATATATATATATATATATATATATATATATATATATATATATATATATATATATATATATATATATATATATATATATATATATATATATATATATATATATATATATATATATATATATCACCTTAAAATCCTTTTAAAAAAAATATTTGAGCATGACACATTTGGGGTTGTTTTAAACTCATTTGTTTAATTGGTGATGTTATAGCTGGACTACCAATTTTACCTTTTTTTTGTTGGAATATGCTGGTCCTACATATTTTTGATAGCAGGCCCAAAATATTTTCAAATAAATTTTCAATACATTTTATGTATTAAATTTTTACTATTCTCTAATAGTTTTCATTCTAAAATAATATACCATATTTATACATATTATGTTTGTTTGTGACTTTTACAAAAAAAAAGTTTGTATTGAGATTAAACAATTTGTAATATAAGTTTATTTAATTTGTTGATTTTCAAAGTCTTTTGATTTTTGTATTAATAGAACATCGTGATCAAAACTAGAATATGGATGGACCTTCGGAAAGTGACAGGCTAGTACCCTACAGAATAAATAAGCAAAGAACATTAACAATACTGCTAGCTGCTTTAATTTCATCTTTGTTATCTGTCTCTTGTGGATTTTTTTTATGTTATATTAGGTTATATATGGTTTCTGATTTTTTTGTAAGTATTTTTTTTTTATTAAAACACTTATTACTAATAGCTGTCTAGAATAATAAAGAAATAATTAGTGTAGTAAGATGCTCATTTTAGAGACACAGGTTTGTTTTTTTAACAATATTTCTTTCACTATATAATGTACAACCCCTTCTAACTTTATGAGATTGTTATTATTGTTTAATAATAGTTTTATAAGCTCTTTTTAAATTACTTACATTTTTGCATTTAGTTTATATCTAAACTTTTAAGAAAAAAATTTATAACATTTATTTACTTTTTTTATTTGTGTTTACATTTTCTTCCTATTTTTAAAAGAATAAATTCGGTTTTATTATTTCTACTTAAGCATTACGGTATTTTTTTTTTTTTTTTTTAAATTTGAATTACTCGGATTAATTATTTTTTGACAGATTGTACTTATTTTTAAAAATGTTAATGCTTCCCTATTTTCAAAATAAAGGTTTATAATAACTTATAATGTTCCAAAAAGCCCTTACTAATTAAATTTTTAACCTATCATCGATTAAATTTGCCTCTTTAAAGTTTTCTTTTTAGACCATTTTGTTTTTATTGATTAGGGTTAGTACTAATTTATGTATAATAAAAACTTTAGCCTCACGAGAATAAATATTTTGCTTAATAACAATGCCAGTTGCAAGTTTTTTTGATGTTATTAACTAGTCCATGTTATAAACTTCACCTCTTCAAAATGTTATTGAGTACATAAAAGTTGTAAATAAGAAATCTCTATATGTAATTAAGAAATGCAATATGTAATTTAGATATCGCAATATTTAATTGAGAAACACAACGTGTAAATAAAATATTGCATTACCTAATTAAGAATACATAAAATATAATTAATAAATCGTAGTATATAAAAAAGTAAACTTAATTTGTTATAGCAAATTCACAATGTAAGCTTCTGGTCATTATAAAAAATCATCTGCGACATAAATGTCAATAAGTTATGTGAAATGAATTGTGTGAGTTATGTGCAATAAATTATATGCTCAATATCTATGGTAGTAAGATTTAAAGTGATCCTATGTATCACTTTAAATCTTACAACCATTGGGCTGGTAGAGTTAAAGGGATTTTTTTTTTCTATTGCAGTAAGATGCTCATATCTTAGTTTTACTTAAAAACTCTTTTTAAAAAATGTGTTTT